GATTTACTGACATTCTACACATGGAAGGTAAGAGAAACATAGAAAAGATCTCCAAGGTTTGAAACCTGAAGACCCACAATGACACAGCTACATGCAGGGTTCAAGGTGCCATAAGCTAGAGACCATTCCCAAAACTGCTGCTTATATACAGGAAGCAGACCACATACCCAAAGGCAGCTACTCAGCTGCTCACAGTAGATTCCACCATGGAGTTGATTACCAGTCTCATCAAGGGCAATACTACATCCAGCTGCCCAGCCACTCAACCAGGCCTAGCCAAGTTGACACAAAAACATAACCACCACAATTCCACCCCTTGTCAACTTGGCACCTGTACAGATCTTCAATGGGTGGTATCTGTACAGGTCTCCCCCACTGGGTGACTCCAGTCCCCTCGTTCCTGAGTGGTGACCTCACTCCCTTGGCCTGGCAGGCCCTGTTCCTCTCCCTCTTGGGCATGGCAGCCCCATCCCCTCACTCTTGGGCAGCGGCTATAGTTCCATCCCACTGTGAGTGTGGGGCTGCTCTGCTTCCCATTTCCTTGGTCTCTCCGCTTCTGCCGATTAATGCCCGAGGGCAACACACTCCACTGGAAAACTTCCTGCCCAAAAGGCATTTGGCTTTCTTGCTCCATGGGCCACCAACCTGCTACTCCATTTCGTGCCAGTCTCTTCTACCAATTAATTCCTGAAGGCAACCCACTCCACCAGGAAGCCGCCTACCCAATGGCACCCAGCTTTTTCCTTCGTGGGCTGGTAAGCCTGTTGCTGTTTAATGCCGGTCTCTGGGCTCTGCTACTGCCATCTCTCATGCTGGTCTCTTGACTCTGCTCCTGCTGTCTCCCATGCCATATGCCAGGGTCTCTCTTGCAGGGTCTCAGGTCAAGGGCCCACTCCACTCCTGTTTCCACATTTTAGGTATATGTCAGAGCAGCACCCCACTCTCTCAGTACCAAATTCTGTTCTGGTTACCTAGTGCCACTCTGACAGAAATATACCACAAATGGGATGGCCTTAACAAACAGGAGTTTATTCTCTCACAGTTTGGAGGCTTTAAGTCCAAGTTCAAAGTGCCAGGCTGTAGGGGCTGGGTGAAAGCCCCTCAGCCTTGGGCTTCAGCTCTGCCTCCAGCTCCCAGCCCACTGAAGCTAGAGGCGTTTCTTCACTCAGACACCTGCTGGCTGCTGAGGCTGCCAAGCCTAAGGTTGACAAGCAACAAGGCACAGTCCAGATATTACCAAACCACATGGCAGGCCATTAATTCAAGTCCATTGTAAGTCCCATGGTCAGCAGAGCATGGCAGGCTGCTGAACAACAGCATGGCTATATGCAGGGTTCAAGCATGCCATAAGCTAGAGACCATTCCCAAAGCTGCTGCTTATATATGGGAAGCAGACAACATACCCAAAGGCAGCTACTCAGCTTTGTATTTTAATGCCAACAATTACAAAAGTTTGGGAGATGTAATAATCATCAAGGACTTACTTCAGACAACCAGGTAAACAGTTAAGATAGGTAACAGTTTTAGTTCCCAGCACAAAATTAGCTTGACAATCAGCAAGGAGGCATTTTTGTATCTGTGGCACATGGACAGGAGCTGTGTGTCTTTTATTCTAAAAGTGCAAGTGCTTGCCAACATAGGGACATTTGGCACTTTTAGCGAATGAGAAATACAATGCTAAATATAAGAAAAACCAGGATACCGGTAACACAGCAAACTGGATACACCACAGAAAATGTTTAGAATTCCAAGAAAATTAAATGAGACTATATTTAACTGCATTTAAATGGGAAATATTTATGTAAAAATAAAACATCCAAAATAAGTCAGAAAATTCAAATATGGAAATTGAAGGCATCAAAATTATAATAAAGGATAAAGTTGCAATATGCGGCAGCAGCAATCAGTGAAGCTTGTGCACTCTGAAGAAATTATTTATCTATCTCAATCCCTGTTAACACATAATGTTATAGTGAAGGCTACAAATTTATGGTTTCCTTTTACACCATACCATGACTTGTAACTTAATTGCTTTTTATAGTTACCTATTGCTCCCAAATCAATTACAGTGAGGCAAGAAAAGGAAACTTCTAATAACCACTTACACTCTACCATATATAAGATTAAACACTGTATCCCAAATGAAAAACTGCTCCACAAGTGCATTTTTATCTATGTCCCTGTAAAGACATCTCAAATCTTTTAACAAAGCTGCTAAAAAAATTTGCAAAATTGAGAGGTCTGAAAATCTTGTCAATCTGGTAGGCCTGATTACACAATCAAAAAAATAACTAAAACTATTAACAGAATTGCAGAAATTGAGAGAAAGGTAAATCCTAAAATAGCTATGATTTTTTTCTTTTGCTCTTGAATGTTGAAGAACTGCCTATAATTGCTGAAGAGCAGGTCCTCCTCTGCAGAAGAAAATAAATCATATTAGAGAAGTGTACAGGATGAACAGCTGACCCACTACTCTTAAGAAGCACCAGCAAGCAACCTCTTGCTCAGGGTGGGCCTAATTGGCAGTCACCCAGCTGTGCCTCACATGGAGTTGGTCCCTGAGTAGCTGGAGAAAACAGCTGGGCTGTGTCGGGGTCATGGAGTGCTGGGTGCTGACCTGGGAAGTTAGGAAGAAGGTTTTCACGTGACAGGCTGCCAAGTCTAGACCTTGGTCACTAGAGGCCAGATGGGGTGGAGTTCTGGCATGAATCTCACTGCAGGGACTTGATTTCAAGTTTTCTGGAGAAATGACTCTAGAATCTGTTTCTTCCCAAAACAAACCAACCACGGATTTCATGAGAAAGAAGTGAGACTCAGACCCTAGGACTGTTTCTCTTTGAGGTCCTAGGTTTATGCTCTTGTTTTCCAGGCTTTAGCATGGTGACAGCACCTGGGGTGGAGGTGGGGGAAGATCTACACTAACCTGTATTGTTTCTTTTGGAAGTAAATCCTAAGAAAATTTTATTAAAGAAGTAGATACAAATTATCCCCTGCTTGTCCAATGAAAAACTGCACAGGTAACTTAGGAATCCCTTTAAAAAAAAAAAAAAAGTTTACTCAATTCTCCATTCTCCTGATTAAAAAATGTAAAAAGTTAATGGAAAAAAAAATGTTAAAGAACATTTAATACAGACTAAACTCACTGTCAAATCACTTAAGCATTGAAATTTCTCCCCAAATTTAAGAAAACCTAAATTAATATATTCTAATCAAATTAGAAGAATAGTCTCTATCTTTCTTAACCTACTGTTAAGGATTGACTTGTGTCCCCTAAAAATATGTGTTGTAAATACTAACCTTATCTCTGGTGGTGTAGTACCTGAGGCATTTGACTGCTAACCAGAAAGCTCGCGGTTCAAACCCAGCAGCCACTCCTCAGAAGGAAGACTGGGCAATCTACTTCCTCAGCGATACTGTTTCAAAACCCAAGGAGGGGTCACTATGTGTCAGATCGGACTCCAGGGCAGTGAGTTTGGTTTTGGTTTATGTCTGTAGTTATAATCCCCTTTGGGAATGGGTTGTCTTTGTTTTATTAATGAGACAGGATTAGTGTAGGATGTGTTTCAAGTCAATTCCTTTTGAGATATGTTGTTGTTGTTGTTATATGCCATTGAGTCAGACCTGACTCCTAGTGACCCCTCCTTGGGTTTCTGAGGCAGTATCACTACAGAAGTAGATTGCCTCATCTTCCTTCTGAGGAGTGGCTGGTGGGTTTGAACTGCCAGCCTTCTGGTTAGCAGTCAAGTGCCTTAGGCACTACGCTACCAGAGCTCCCTTTGAGATATAAAAGACATTAAATAAGAAAACAAGAGAAGCAGAGATGGAGGAAAAGAAATGCCAAGCCACACGAAGATCACCCAGGAGCAGAAGCTCAGAAGAGACAAGGACCTTCCTTCAGTGTCTGCAGAGAGATAAAGCCTTCCCCTAGAGCCTGTATTCTGAATTCAGATTTCTAGCCTCCTCTGGTGGCATAGTACCTAAGGCATTTGACTGCTAACCAGAAGGCTGGCAGTTCAAACCCACCAGTCACTCCTCTCACGGAAGGTTGGGCAATCTACTTCCGTAGTGATATCGCCTCAGAAACCCAAGGAGGGGTTGCTATGAGTTGGATCTGACTCAATGGCAGTGAGTTTGGTTTTGGAAACTGTAAAAACATAAATTTCTGTTTATTAAAGACATCCACTTGTGGTATTTCTGTTACAGCAGCACTAGAGAACTAAGATAGCTAACTCAACATATTTAGTATCTGGGTCATTTCATGAGGTAGTTCTAGTTATTAAGATAATTTCAACACCTCAATAATAATTTATATTCTGAAAAATAATAAATTATGGTGGAAAATAAAAATACATTTATTCTTTTCATTACTGACCATTTCTTCTGAAATATTCAGCTTTTCGTTTTGTATTCTTGTTACTTTTAACTAAGACTATTAATTAAAATGACCCTAAAAAATCAAATCAAACTTACTGCCATAGATTTGGTCCTGACTCACAGCAACCCTGCCTTGGGTTTCAGAGGTGGTATCTCTACTGAAGTAGATAAGTGGTCCTTTACAATCCAAAAGGAGGTGAAGAGTCTTCTTTATATGTTTTTCCCAAACAGTCCTTGAACATACACATACATGTATGTTATCTTTCCCATGTATATCAGTTGAGTTTTATTAATTTCTTCTTGTACATTGATCATTCACTTTTTTTTTTTTCCTAAACACTAAATATATTTCATAGATAAAACAATAGGACCTGGGTCTTATTCTTTCTGAATCTACAACACCCCACACGATAAACAGCTGCAGCCTCACGTCTGACATATGTAAAAGTTCTCAACAAAAAACCTACCTAACCAGAAAGTGTATCTTTAAGAGACAAATTTAAAAACACAGAATTCATTTTTTGATAAAAGAAACTATATTGATCAAAACAATGACAGAAGACAACAGAAAGTACTTGATGTTTTATCAGCTGTCACATATAGAAAAAGGGATTAAAAAAAGTTACCTTTTTGTGCAAGGCATGGAATTCGCTGTACCTCTTTTCAACAAAATGTTTTCTTCCATTCATTAGCACTTCTATCTTAAACACCTAAGGAAAAAATTAAAAAGATTAATTCCACCAGTTAAAACCCTCAATTGTCTGATGTGGTAAGTTTGTGACCATGATATATTTCATCCCTTTAATTACAGTAGCTGATCCCCAAAACCCAGAAGGCTCAAGAGACTACAGCCCAACAGGCCTGATTAATGAGCACTCCAACCAAATACTCACTAACAAACTATAGTATTTTCAGCAAACATGTCTAAGAGCAATGGAAACTTAAACACATTAAAATGTTCCTTAATTTTTCCATCAAAGAATATTCTTCACTTAAAATTAGTTCTTCATCTAATGAATAAGATGGCACTAAAATAAAAATGTGACGTGAGAGGCACACTCTGGTAAAAATCTCAGGCATGTGGGCATCCCCTTATGGTAGTATTTCAATGACAGAAGTACTGTGTCATCTATACGACAATCATGCAAACATTTTAGGTTAATTTCTTCCTAACCTGCATATTCATCTCTAGTCTCAGCTGGGCTTATTCTGCTGTTTGCAAAACAGAGGATATGTAGTAACGGTTCATTTTCCCTGCATGAGACGACTGACAGCTTTTGCTCCTACCTCCAGAAGGTTGAAAGGCCAGATGAAAAGGCTCTCTAGGTGCACTAATTAGTAGGCACTAACAAGACATTTTCTTGATTCTTAGGTCAGTGGGTCAAGACTGGGAACAAGGGATGAGAAATATTGTGAAATGCTCATGAAAATACAATGTTAAGGTGAGATGGGAGTGGGGGCTTGGCAGGAACTAAGAAGATATCCTGTTATTTCCAAGACTTCACATTTGACTCCTGTTTTGCTGAGTAAGAGTTTGTAAAACATCTAGATGAAGGAACCCTGATTTCCTGGTTCTATTTCTCTTCTGAATAAAAACGAAAGTTGAGGTCATATGATACTAAAGAATGCTGAAAGCATGCTTACTTTAATCCTAAAATTAACAACTACTTAATTTTAGCATATGAATCACCCAGTTACATGCTTTCGTTTAAAATAGATCCCTACGGCTCTATATTTCTACCTTATATGCAAATATAACTACTTTAGAAAGCCATAAACAATGTCATCAAATAGAAAATATGTCTGCATTTCCATGCTTTTTCAAATCAGAAACAAAATGTTCTGTTGCCATGACTTAAGAAGACACCTGCTTCCATTATATAAACCCATTGCCATAAAGCTGATTCTAATTAGAAGTAGTATTTTTTCCAATTTAATAAATATTCATAACATTTGGTTCTTTAAAAAAAATCTGCCTAAATAAATCTTTTTCCTTGGTAAATTAATAAAACTATTTTTCTTCTAAAAACTTAGGCATATGTTTCAAACTCAGATATATGTATATTATTTTTTAGAAAAAAATAATATGTTTATTAATTCACCAAGGGAGATTCTTCTTCTTCTTTAAAGCCAGAAATAGAATCAGGAAAACACCCCAAAAAACACAAACAAGAAAAGCACAGCTTCAACTTGAAGGCTGGGTTAATAGGATACACAGTTCCCTTTTTAGTGGCAAGTCCCAGATTTCAATCAGGACAATGTGGTGCCAGTGAAAGGAGCTACCATCTGCTAAGCTATATGAAATAAATGAAACTGTGGTCTGTCCAGTTACTTAAGGGTTCCTCACAAAAACCACCATCTTAATTGGCATGTTAGCTGCTGAATCCATAGAAAAGGGAGAAAGGTTCAACCTACTGGGTCACCCCTCAAAGTGCCCCCTCTTGAAGACCATGGATAAGATACACTATACAGCAGCTGCCTCATGGAGTGTCACCCTTTCTACCAACCTTACAATTCCATCATCAAGTTCCATAGTGACTTTTCACAAGCACTAAATAAGCACTAAATTCATTGGGAGGGACAAGACACACACACACACACAATCAAGATTCTCTTGATTTAACTAAGGAAAGATTGAGATACATTTTACTTGTGGTATTTTTTATTATGTTGCTACGTAAAAATAAACAATATACTAATATTACGATTTTTTTTTCCGTCTAAATTCTAGGAAAACATCTTAAAAGGAAGAAAGTTGTAAATCAGGATTTCCATGGCAAAGTGAAGCGAGCAAGAAATGAATCAATTTAACCTATCCAATTTTCCAGAATGCCATACCAGCATACCAGGATTTTTACTTTTAAGTCCTTTAGCTTGATTTCCTGACACACTGTTCTGCTGTCTGAAATACTTTTTCCCTGCCTTGCTCTCCTGGCGAACTCATAATTATCCACCTCATAGGGTGAAGGCATGATAAGGACAATGTTTGGAAGCAGTCAGCACAGTCTCTGGTACTTATTTATTTATTTAACAAATACTTAATAAGGGCCAACAATGAACCCAGAATTTGCTCTAGACTCCAGGCACTTAGTAGCAAACAAAACAGTAAAAAATCAGTCTTCCTGAAGCTTATATCCTATCTAATAAGGAGACAGTCTACAGTATACAAATAAATAGCATGCTATCAGGAAATAGTAAGTGCTCTGAAGAATAGCACAGCAGGGTAAAAAAACAGCTTGACAAAGATGCTGCTTTAGACAGTGTAGTCAGAGAAGGCCTCCAAGCAGGGGACCAGCAAGGCAGTGAGAGGTATATACTCTGCAGGAAAACCCCAGGAAACAGATATCAAAGACCAAAAGTGGCTGTCTCTGGGATTTCAGACTGGGCGAGGGTTGTTGTTGTTGTTGTTGTTATCTGCCATAGAGTCGGACCTGACTCATAGCGACCCCTCCTTGGGTTTCCGAGGCAGTATCATTATGGAAGTAGATTGCCACATTTTCCTTCCAAGTATTATTTGTTTTCACTTGTCAAAAAAAACACATTCAATTTTTTTAAAAAATGCTACTTTAAAGGGAAGATTCAGATTCTTGAATGTGATTTTTATTACATGTTAGATTAAATTTTTCCCTTATGATTACAGCTCCTAAATTGTACCGGAAATCAATGATAAAACATGTCAACATTTGGGTTTACACCAATTTTTTTTTTTTTAGGAATGTACATAAACTTAATGAAAGGAAGTATTTAGCCCATATTCCAGGTTGAAACCGAGCCTATCTTCCAGAAGCTTATACCTTACAAAGTTATTCGCTTCCAAAACACATAATAATAAAAAAAAGAGCACAGTTTTTCCTGTAACTGGCTAAAAGTGACCAATAAATAACTCAAATGCCTGCCAAGCATGGATAGGAATTCTACATTCAAATAAAGCTTTTAATCCACTGCTCTAAACAATTTAAGTCACTATACTAACATGTGGGAGCTCTGGTAGCATAGTGCCTAAGACACTTGACTGCTAACCAGAAGGCTGGCGGTTCAAACCCACCAGCCACTCCTCGGAAGGAAGGTTGGGCAATCCTACTTCCGTAGTGATACTGCCTCGGAAACCCAAGGAGGGGTCACTATGAGTCGGGGCCGACTCAACGGCAAATAACAACAACAACAACATACTAACATGTAAGGAGCTCTGGTGGTACAGTGGTTAAAGCATTTGGCTGCTAACTCAAAGGTTAGTGGTTCAAACCCACCACCACTCCATGGGAGAAAGATGAGGGAACTTGCTTCTGCAAAGATTTATAGTGCTGGGAACCCTATGGGCAGTTCTACTCTGTCCTACAGGGTTGCTATTAGTCAGAATCAACTCAATGGCAGTGGGATTAGGTTTTTTTAGTTTGGTACCACTACACAGAAAATCTGAAGTACATGCAGTCCCTGGGGTATGAACAAGATCCATTCCAAACTTTTAGAATTTTTAGGTCAGGTGGAACAGATGCATAGTTTTTATTTAGCCTTACTTTAGTACAAGAGCCTTTTCAATGATTTAAAAGCTACATGTACAGCATGGAAGGTGACTGTAATTAAGAATTTGTTGTGAGTAGGAACTAGTTCGAAGAGCTCTGGTGGCACAGTGCCTAAGGCACTTGACTACTAACTGGATGGTTGACAGTTCAAACCCACCAAACACTCTGTGCAAGGAAGACTATGCAATCTACTTTGATAAAGATTTACCACCTCCAAAACCCAAAGAGAGTCACCATGAGTCAGAACTGACTTCATGGCAGCTGAGTTTGGTTTTGGTTTTTTGGAGGGGCTAGTTCAGAGAAGCTGTGGTTAAAGCATTGGGCTGCAAACCAATAGGCCAGCAGTTCGAACCTACCAACTGCTCTATGGGAGAAAGAAGAGGTAGTCTATTTCCATAAAGATTTACAGCCTTGGAAACCCTATGGAAGCAGTTCTACTCTGTCCCACAGGGTCACTATGAGTTGGAACTGACTCAATAGCAGTGGGTTTTGGTTTAGGGGTTGGTTCAATCATTTCAAAGTGAGGGCAAATTCGGAGGCCAGAAGAACTAGATAGTGCCAAGTACCATGACCAACAGCTCTGATCAGCATCAAAATAGAAACTCCTGGGCAGAGATGGAAGGAAAAAAAAAAAAAAAAGAGGAACAAAATTCAAAAACATAAAAAAGACCCGAGTTACTGGTGGAATCCCTGAGAACGTGGCCCTTAGACACCCTTCCCAACTGGTACAGAACCTATTCCCAGGGATCAACTTCAGTACAATCAACGATATGAAACAAAAAGGACAGCATATGGCAGAAACCAAAGCTCAGAAAGCAAGAAAGGGCAAAAAAGAAGGATGAATGGAATCAGAGAACCCAGGGAGGAAGGGGGAAGAGTGCTGTTCCATTGAGGGGACTACAACCAATGTCACAAAACAAAATGTATGTAAATTGTTGAACAGAAAACTGAAAAAGAGAAAGGGAGGACAAAATTACATAATGTTAAAAGACAAGTAGGAGTTTTCTGTAAATCAGACATGTGTAACCAGGGGATTGCTTGAACACATAAAGGACAACAATCAATCTAAAATTTGGCTTTTATATGCATATTTAATCACTGTCTAATCAGAATAAACCAAAAATAAAACTCACTGCCATCAAGTTGGGGCCAACTCATAGCGACCCCTCCTTGGATTCCTGAGGCAGTAC